GTTATCGGGAATGCTAGTGATGGCAGGGCGGATGCTTTAAACCTATTCTCTGAATATATTAATGAGCGGGAAAAAATACAGCACTAAGCACTTTGTTGGCTCACTCGACTGCGTGTGAGAAATAATGGACAGGAGGAGATTATGAAATATTGAATATATTGTGTGATAACTGTACAGTAAGAGGAGGAGGGTTAATCCGTTGTGATGAGAAAGTAAAGGTCACATTCTCGTCAACGAGTCATTTAAGGGAAATTAAAGCAGCATGTATGCTGTCTCTACAGTGAAGAGTGGGTCGTATGAGGGCTTTATAGAGTTGATCTGTTTGCATACCCATAAATGATCAAAAATCGTACTCTTTGACGAATGTGTTATGGATCAGTGGCTGATAGATGGAGAGTGTTGACGGTGGTGATTAGATGGATGGATAGATGGCTGGCTGGCATGTGAATGAAGTATGGTAGCTCATGGCTATTACTCAAGAAGTTTAGAGTCCTACTATTTTGTTTTTGGTTGAGCAAGTGGCTTTCACTCTTTCCACTGTTACTGTACCTGTATTAACTTTGTGGCCCTGGTGCCTTCACAGTGGAATGATGTGAAATGATAAAGGGGAGATAAAACCCAGACAAGTGTGTGTGAAAGTCACAGCCAGTGCATAATTTAACATAACTTACTCACTACACCAATTTAATCACTGATTATTCCTTCTGTGTCTCATCTCAAAACAGATAAAATGTAGATTTAAAGTCATACAAGTAGAAGCCTGTGGAGTAAATTCAGCTCAATAAGCTTGTCTATCCTTTAGTTAATTATAATCCCTGCTTACTAGCCAAGCACTGACTTTTAGCTTTTGGATGTAAAAGTGAAAGAAAAACTTCCGACAGACAAATGAATAAATAATCTTGTCTCTGAGAGTTGCTTTGTGCCGCAATAAATATTCACAGCAGGACGTAGCCTGGCGCGACTTTGGATTTGCTCTTTAATTGAAGGTGTGGATTGAGCAGACAGGTTTCCCGCGGGTTGACTCATGTCACCTGTCCCATCCACTCGGCTGTGAAAAAGCTGTTGCGGCAGATATGGATTAGTCTCAGAGCGTCACAGTGCAGGTATTACATGTCTCTGGTGGCACTGCCAGCGCTGCCCCATGACTGCTAATAATCTCTATTGTCTTGTGTTGTTGGAATGTTGCTTTACGAATGTTTGGTGGACGCTAGGGACGACTGTTTTGTACCAGTGCCAATTCTAATGCCCAGGCTTCCTTGCAGATCAGAGGTTCTGAAAGTGGAGGGGTGTGTTTGGTGGAGGAGGGGGGGAGCAGAGAGGTTGTCAAAACATCTCCTCATTCCCTCCTCAGCTGCTTCCTCGCCTTCTTTTCTTCCACCGCACCCTTGCTGCCAAAAGCCAGAAACAGATCAAAGGGGGCCAACATGAAAGGAATCCCTGAGATTCTGTTTTTCGGTGCCCTGTCTCCCCGCTCTCTCCGTTACAGATATGGAAATGCTGAATCCCAAATACCGCCTGTACCTAGGCTGCAAAGTATAGCCTGCTTCATCTGACTTTCTCTCTCTATTTTCCTTTTTCTTCTTCTCCTCCGCCTCGTCTCACCCCTTCATCATCATGTCTCTCCATCCTCTGCTCTTGCCTCTCTCCAGCAGCCCTCAGGCTTCCAGGTAGATAGCGGTTGATTGGCAGCTGCTGTGACAGTCAGTGGAACTGGCTGAGAGTGGATGAGTGTCAGCCTTGCTCCAGGGGCTTAAGGCAGCAGCAATGTTGTAGCTCTCTGCTGGAGAGAGAAAGGCCCATGAAATAAGACTCAGTTGGTTCTTCTCTTCTCCTCGCTTCTCTCAACTGAAGCAGGTAGGAGCTAAATAGGTTTTTCAAATTGCCAGAGTTTATCCTAAGACTGGAAACTCACACTCTGTAACTCACATCCTGTCATGTGCCTTCCCTCCCTCATTCCTCTTTTTCTACCCTAAGTTACAATGTATCTGTCTGTTTTATTTCAGCTTGTATCATCGTGTTATTCAGCGGCCCTTTAAAAATTATTTTCTATTGGTCCCGTCCTTCCTATCCATTCTGAATCCTTGTTCTCTGCTGTCACACTACTTTAAAATTAGCCATGCCGGTCCCGTCTGTGCATCCCCTAAAAAACCTTTTCTTCCCTTTGAAAAACTTCTGAATACAACTTGATGCACGCTGTACAGCAGCCACAGGGGGAAAGTGTGAGAATAAAAAAAATGAAACGTGAAATCATCTCAGTTCTAAGTGGCTGTGACCAATTCCCAGATGGAGGGAAAGCGTTTGTATGATGGGTTTCGCTGTGCTGCCTCTTGAGCTCTGTCCCGTCAACAGCAAGAATTGCGTCAGTTCTCCCTCCAGCCAAGTTTGCCCACTTCTCCATCGCTCAGACAGAGGACAGGATGGCGAAGGAAAGAACTCAGAGAGGGATAAAACACAATGAGGAGTCTACATGGGGTTCTCCTCAGAATCTTAAAAGATGCTCTGCAGACATGTATTGATAAGTGTGTAAATCAAGCAAGAATGTTTGTCTTTTTCAATGAACTCTTACATCTTTTTCAATGAACTCTTACATCTGTGTTTGTTTATTTACATCATAAGAGAAGTTTTTGAAGATAGTAATTCACTGAGCATCATAAATGGACCTGGTAAATAAACACAGTTGTTTAGATTCCAGAAACTAAGAAACTTTTAAGTTTTGGTTGGTGAAAATATTCACTTCAGTGAAATATAAATATAATTTGCATCAGTCCTAAATATTTGATGTAAAATTATGAAATAGAGCAACATCTATAGCTGACCTCATTTTTCCGTGACTTCAAAATAGTTTAAATGCAACTGCGCCTTAATATTTTATTGATTGGTGACTAATTGAACCTACGTGCCATATAAACCTTATCATTTAATCATCCTCATTTCTGTTTGATTTTATAAGTTAGAGGAGTAATGGATAGTTTGATGTCTCAGCACTTCAGTTTACAAGAAATGCCCTCGGTTTTATGAACAGTGGGAACTTTCAATGGCTCTTTGGGTTTAGGGGATGAACAAGCACTTTGAGGATCACATAAATATTGAATGCAGGGTAAATGCAGGCCCATTTGATTATGGGATGGTTGGTGTGTGGATGAGTTTAGCTGTACATGTCAGATACCCACTGAGTGCTCTGGAGTCTGGTGAAAGGGTGCATTGCATTGCAAAGTGGACCTAATTAGAGGAATTTGGAACGTATTTGAAAATGAATCACACTTTGCCGCGACACCAACAACTGTATTCACCACTTCTGTAAATGGGCAGCTTGGCAGGCAGAAGGCTTGTCAGATTGCTCAATACTCCCACCAATATATATATGAATGGGAGGCCTGATTACTTTGTCACAATGATTCATTGGCTTGCACTCACACTTGGGCAGGTTAAATCCCTCTGGGGACTGCCGTCCTCTCTCGTATGTGTTCATAGCCACCTCTGCATCTTTACAACGCTGTTATCATCAATACAGCCGATACAGTGTGGCTTTTAACATCTTGGAAAGTTGTGTCAAGGGCAGCACTTGGTTCTGGAAAATTCCTAATACAAATTGATCAATATTTATCTTCCTTTTTTTTATTTTTACAGATTTAGCATTAAAAACATCTTGCAGGAAATCACCTTCTCAGACTGCCTGATTTTTTATATCAAAGCCGTCTTATTTTCTTGCACCAGATTTCTCTTCTTTCTGATTGCCTTTCTGCAACACTGAACACATTTTTGATAAACCCTTACAACCTGAGGAATATAATTTCAAGATGGGAAATGAACATGATTAGAGTGAAATGGGTGAAGCGCTCAGTGATATGGGTATGTCTCAGACGTGGCATTTGGATGTTAGGAAAGATCTAAGGAAACAAATGTCTCCTTTAATTGTGCAAGGCCAGTGTGAGAGATGCACCAGTGAATTATGGCAACAGTAAACCACATAGGGACACTCAGAGAAAAGCATAAATTCAGATACAGATACACAGACGCATACACACTTAGGCGTTATCCCTTGCATATGAATTAAATCAAAAAGGAGAAGAAGGGCTTCTAAACTTGTTTATATGCAGATTTCCCTGTGTTGGGGTGATGAAAAATAGCAAATACATGGAAAAACACTCCTGCTATTTTTACCCTCAGACAAATACGATGCTGGATACACAAAAGCTGTTTGCTCCCATTGGCAACTAATGCTTTCTTTGTTAGTTGCTCTCTACACATCCATGGCCTTCCATTAAATAGATTTGCAGGTAGCACAAAGACATAAAAAGGAACTCATCTGGAGTCTGTAATATACATACTATTGTTCTGTACAGCATGGTGTGTATCAGGCTGCTGCTGTACGATTGCTCTGTTTGGAAGGAATAAGAGGTTAATCTTCTTGTGAGAGGTTTAGTAACAGGTTGTGTTGCCAATGAAAACTGTGTGTGTGTGTGTGTGTGTGTGTGTGTGTGTGTGTGTGTGTGTCTCAGTCCAGGAGCATAAGAAAAAGCCTTGACTCATATGTAGTAAATCAGGATTGGCTGATCTAATTTATTTTACCCTGGTGAAAGAGGAAACGCAGTGTAGTGTTTCTTCTACACCATTATCCAGACTGCTGTCTCTCTCTCTCTCCCTCACATGAAGGGGGAGAGTTGGCTGTAGTGATGAGCAGTGTGATAATTATGGGATTCTTTAGGGAGCTCTCTCTATCTTGCCTTAGAAACATGGCAACGTATCACCTTTGTGGAAATAAAGCAGTGTACTCGCTGTGGGAGCCAAACATGGCAACCTCACTGCAGACTTTAATCATGATTGAGGGACTTGGGCCGATATAATTTATGCAACATTACCTAAATGTGAAAATACAGTATGTATAGCATGGACACCCATTCATGCACTGTATGTACATACACAAGCCTAAAATTAGGAAATCATATTTCATTCTGTCTCTATCCCCCTAAACACACGCTTGCTATTTCTTCTCTCTCCAGCTCATAGCTGTGTATGAAGAACAGGATCCTCACAATGGAGGTGATGGTACCAGCGCCAGCTCTACAGGAACACAGAGTCCAGAACCCTACAGTGAGATGAGTTCGGTATCTGCCTTCCAGCCCTACCAGACCAACAGTGAGATCGAGGTCACTCAGTCCGCCCTGCGATCCAGTGAGTCCAACACAAAACTTTGTCACAAATGATTTCACAGCTAATGCTTGGCTAATAATTGGATTTTCCATAATTCACGTTTTTCTGCTGTCATATTTTAGGTTTTCACATCTATTTATACTGAAAACTACGATTTTGTAGTTGTGCACCTCCTCTCTACCACTTCCCTATTGAGGTTTTGCATGATCAGGGTGTTTTATGTCAGTCTGAGCCTCTATTTTTATTGGCCGACCGAGGGACATGCGGTCAGGCTAACTACAGGAAATGGATTGAAAACTATTAAATATACCTCGGTAAAACTCACCAGTAAATGCAAATGGACAGTCAGTGTTGAATTCAGCCAAACTGCCGATCAAATTCAGACTTAAATGTTCTTGCTGGATTTGGTGCGGGTGCAAACCTCTGGGTCATCTGGCAGTAAGGAGTCATCAGTTTTTGAATACAAGCTTTTTTCTGTGTATTGAATGTTTTGATACTTTTGCAGTATTTATATAGCACCTAGATCTGCTTTATACAGAAAACAGGCATGGACATCTCTCTTCCTACTATCATCTGTGGTGGCAGTTTCTGTGAAACAAGCACAAAGTCAAACACTTCTTTCTGAAAGTTTAATTCAGCATCTGCAGATGGACTCATCAGTACACATCACCTGAATGACGTGCACAAATGAGCAAAGAACATAGGAAAATCAGTGTTCTTATAGCTCACAGCCCCCTCCCACTAAGCATGCAAAGGTATTTATTACCCTTCTGTAGTTTCACTCAGCGGAGGAGACATCCTGTCCTTATGTTCACATGTTCTGTGGATGACCCCCCTGTGAGACCCCAGTTGTTTGATTCTAATCAGAGATACCAAAAGATACCATAAAGTTGTGGTTTCTCGAGGCCATAAAACTCAAGTCTCTGAAGCCACCATAGTAAACCTTAAGGTTACCTTTTTTAGATTAACAATTTGGTCAGTCCTCCACATACATGTCTGCCCATGCAATTAAACATACACAAATGTAAAAATTTTCATTACACATCATTGTGGTATTATTAAATAATATAACAACCATTGAGCTGTCTGAGGCATAGTAGAGCAAATAAACTAAATTAACTATCAGAAAAATTCATTAAACTGCGTTTTTTTAAATCTATGCCATCAGCCAGAAATCTATCCAAGATTTAATAGTCTCAGATATGAAACACATTAAAAGCTAAACATTTCTAGGAAATTCAAGCACAGTCTCTTTTTGAGCAAGAGAAATATTGAGCGATCAGAGATGCTGCAAAATATTTGCCCAAGCCTCAGTAAAGTTGTATTATTGTTTTGAATCTCCCAGGCTGTCAAAATGTTGGACTGAAGACAGAAGGATTAGAGGTTATCAAAACATGTCTACTACATTTACGCATTGAGTCAAGGCTTTTTTATGAGCTTTGGTTTGTGTGTAACTGGACAGTGAGGCTGAAACAATATCAACAAAGTAAACTTTTCCTACTTGACAACTTACTGGCCAGTGTTGGTTTTAGTTGACATGCTTCAGGAGTATTGTGTGGAGTCGAGTGTCTGTCAAGGCTGTGCAGTGTGTCCACAGGGTATGGCAGCATGCTTAGACAGACAGGTAGAAACTGAGACAATGGAAGAAATTGAGACACAGTTGGATACCCAGTCAAGCATGACGAAGAGCACACATGCCAGAGCAAGTTGGAGACTCACACATGGCACACACAGGCCACTGACTCAGATGTTGCTCATGTCGGCATATTCACGTCCCATGAAGTGGAACCAGTGATCTGACGCCGAGCCATCTTAAACTCTAAAGAACATCCAAGACATTCAAAGCCAGGACACAGATAAGCATGGACTCACCCACATGCACATGAATGAGAAGTTGAGTTCACTCTCCTGGTTTAACCTCAGAATGAATCCTGGCTTCTCTCAGCCTGAATATGTTTGATGTTTCAAGTTTGTTAGAAACCATCCGACCTGGTTGTCAACTCGCTTCAAACAAACCCACAGCTGAAACATGGACCTGCTTTCTGAAGGAGATACAATAAGTTGGTGTCTTTTATCCCCCTATCCAACAAAGATTATCCATTACTGATTTATAGCTTCTAAGACTGTTCATATGTAGTGTATGGATTGCAATAAAACATCCTTCCATTGGATAAAACTATATTTAAGGTTGTGTTCGCAGAGTTTTTATAGAAGATACATGTGAGATTGCATTGTTGGTCACCTGGAGATAATGTATGATGCACATTGACATGCACTTCCCTATTTCAACTCCAAATGTTTTATGTCTGTATTAAATCCAATTTTTAGGAGATGGAGAGACAGCCAGTCAATCAGACAGGACAGACTGAGTGGCATCACATAGACATGGACAGGGAGATGATGGTCCATCCAGAGATGCAGATGAGCAAATTACTGGCAGCAATATTGTATATCAGACATCAAAGTGTAGCAGCGGCGCCCTTGGCAGCTGTGCTCTGAGGCAGAGAATTATGGCTATTTAAAATCATCATCTTTTAGAGTCTTATTGATTGTTTTTTCTCCTCCTACAACTCCCAAAGTCCCAAACTCTCCTTCCCATTTTCATTCCTGTCCTCCACCCCTCCCTTGCTCCTGCCTTGGGAAACCATTTCAGATTTCCATGCTAACATGTGCCGTGCAGGTCAAACTGCTAATAATTGGATTGGAGATGAGATGTAAATTACAATAATGAATGTAATTTTCCCATAATTATGCAGATGCCAGAGCTGCCTCTGCCTCTACTCAACACTAAATTTGTATCTTTCAGAAGTAAGAAAATGTCTGAAACTTTAAATTATGCTGGACCTTATTGGTGCATGTAGCTTTGGAAGTGAAGGCTTTGTTCTATGTTTCTCAAAGAGAAAGAGGTCCTTCTTCTTGTTCATGTTACCATTTGTCAGTTTTCCTATGCTTAAACAGCCGTTCTTATAGGTGCATACATGTGGTCCTGGATGACAGAGACGGTGCAGCAAGTCGGCTGGCTTTTTAATACCTCATTAAGGCTGAGATTAATGCAATAAAATGTTAGAGGGCAGATCTGCTAACTGAGATCACTTAACTTTCCTGCCTCTCCAACCCATGGACAAATAGAAAGGCAAAAATGTAGAGGGTACTCTGGTGTTAATGTGAAAATCAACACTCAATCACCAGTGTCTTACACTCAGTGCTGAGGTCACAGTATAAGATCAGGGTTCACAGCCTTAAGTGCCCACTGTATAATGCACAATCTTTTCTAGAGCACTGAATCTATGCTGTTAATATGAGGCTTTCTATGATGTGGCATGGACTTGCTTAAGGATCAGTGTGAAATATCTCCTACACACACTTACATGCGTGAATAGGGTATTCAGTAGATGATAAAAACTGCTTTGGGCATTGCCTTTTCCATAGGCATCTTGACCTTCAGAGATTACTACTCTTCGTGATTGTTCCTTGATTGTGAGGACTTTTAACACTAGGTTTTTATAGAGGCTCAATTGCCATTGCTCAAGAAACACAATCAGTAAATGGGAGAGTCCTAAGTGCTATTGACGGGTCAAAACTACACTGACATCGATGTGGACTGGCTTCAAAACATGAGCAGAAGATCACAGTGATTGCAGTGATACTTTTTATGATTGACCCCTGCTGCTGTACAGATCAAAACAAAAACACCTTTAGATAACTTGTCATTTGGCCTTTTCCAATGTGACCACCTTTCAAAGTTTCAACACCAGACAACACAAGCATATCTTCTAGTGTTTTCTGTCCCTAAAGTCGACCAATCTGATGACGAATTGTCCATTCTTCCACTGACCTGCTCCTGTGGTCCTTGAATCTACGCTCCCTTGGTCCTTGAAGCTCTGCAGTGACAGGGTTGCTGGGAGGCCATTAGAGAGATTGCCTGTGGGGGAGAGTGTGGACACCTTCGAAGAGGAGGGCCTTCATCTAATCAATTTGGCTTAGTGGTCTGCCACTGAGCAGGTTCCCTGCCGTCAGCCAAGGCCATATAAAAGTCACTACAGCGGACGAGATGCACAGTGACACTGCCAACACAGGATATAAGTGCACATTGTTCACAGTAACCAACATTTAAGTTAGAGTGATTGTAAAATGTTGCACAAAACCTGCTCAAATAAGACATTCGTTTTCATTGGGACTTGTTCTCGGGCTGTGTACGAATCATTCGCTCAGCATTTCTGTCATTTTAAGAGCTCTATTTCAGATTGATTCACGGCTTAAGAAGTGGACTACCCCTCCAATGTGGGGTCTTCAGTGGGATTGGGTGAATTCCTCCAGTGAAGTCTGTGATTGCCCATTATAGATAAACTGCCAGGTTTAGGTTTGGAACCACAAGCAGCTATAGGCCTGATAGCAGGCACTGATACTTATCGGTCTCATCTGTCCTCTCTCTGTCTAACTGTGTCTGGTCCAAAACTACCTCTTTAATCTCTCACTTCAGTGGTGAGCAGGTGACACAGTACCATCAAAGAGCTTAGATATCGCAAGAATCTCAGAGTTGATAACGGTGGTGGTGTACATCTGATTGGTACCGTCTGATGGTGAACCCATCTGTCTTCTCTCATCACCAGGAAAGTTCTGAGAAGCTTGCTGTGGACAAGGCCAGGCACAAATTATTGTATAGTATGGACTGATGTATCAGCATTGTGCTTTGTTGAGTCTATAGCCCTGTTTATATGTTAATTTAGGTGATTTGATCTAAAGTGGACAGCTCTGCATCTTAATAGATTTTGATCAGATCTCACTTCCCTGCTCTATATCCAAATAAGCACAAACCGAAAGTGTTGTTTATTTGAACTAGCTGGAGGCAACAGTGCTTTTGCTGTGCTTTCTATGATGGAAAATTACACAAAAATAATTCCTCGTTCCAGGCAAACCAAAGATGTTTGACATACTCGTAACACATCAGAGTCAAATATTAAAATTAGTCCAACCCTAACCCTACTTCCACCAATGTAGAGGACAGTAGTTGAATATATATA